TGTCTCCAGCACCACCTTCAGATGCTCCTGGGGTTGATCGACATCTCTAGAGTAGACCAAGATGTCTTCGATGAATACGATGACAAATTGATTTAGATTGGGATGGAACACTCTATTCATGAGGTCCATGAACACTGCTGATGCATTACTAAACCCAAACGACATCACAACGAACTCATAGTGACCATACCATGTCCTGAACGTCGTCTTTGACACGTTAGACTCTTTGATCTTCAATTAGTGGTAGCCGGATCTCAAATCAATCTTCGAGAACAAACTAGCTCCCCTTAGCTGGTTGAACAAGTCCTCGATTCTTGGCAATGGGTTTTTATTCTTCACCGTCAGTCTGTTGAGCTCATGGTTGTCATTGCACATTCTCATTGACTCATCCTTCTTCTTCACAAAAAGGACTGATGCTCCCCAAGGTAAAACGCTCAGTCGGAGAAAACTAAGGTTCAGAAGCTCTTGAATTTTTGTCTTGATCTTCTGCAACTCCTTAGGTGCCATGCGATATGGTGCCTTGTACACTAGACCCACTTCCAGTACCAAGTCAATTGTGAACTAGACTTGTCTGTCTGATGGCCTCTCTAATAGCTGCTCCGGAAAGACGTCCACGTACTCTCAAACGATCGACACATCTTTCGGTGATTGTTTCTTCGTCTCACTCCTAACAATATTCACCAAGTATCCTTGGCAACCCTTCGTCTGTAGGCTATTCATCACCCTCATCGTAGAAATCACACTCGGCACGGGCCTCGTCCTCGCCCCATAGAAAGTGATCTTCTCGTCTCCCTCTAAGTAAAGCGTCATCTCACAATCATGGAATTGGATGTCCACTTGGTACTTGCTCAGCCATACCATCCTGAGAATGACAACGAAGTCCTTCATGTCGATCACGTTGGTGTTGGCCTTCAATTCCTTCTCTCTTATGCTAACGTTTAGGTTTTTCACAAGAGAGTCAGTGACTATTGTTTTTCTCGAGGTTAAGCAAACCTCGAGAGCTGCGACAGTACTAACACTCTTGATCCCAGTGGCCTTTAAACAACTTGATGAGATGAAATGATGGGTTTCTCTTGTATCGCATAATATAAAGATAGGTACATTGTGCACATGAAACATGTCGGACATAGTACCTTGCTCTGCTCGGCCTCCGTCTGGGTCAATGCGAAAACTCTAGCTCTATCTCCCTGGTTCAGGGCCTTATGGTTCCGCCCCTGGTCACACTCTGGCACTGGTACGAAAAGTGTCCGTGCTAACTACACTTGTACAAGACTCTCTGGCCTGCGAGGCACGCTCTTCCGTGAGCCATGCCATAGTTGCCATACTGTGGTAATCCGTCCGGCACCTGGCAGATAGGGTGGACATTCTGAGTTTAGGTTGGTCGCCAAGCTGGTCTGCACCTCCTTGCTTGTTCCTCGGCTGATCACGCATGTCGTTCACTTACTCTTGTCGGCATTCCCAACTGGCTACGCGGCTATCGGCTGAACCACAATGGGTTGGGCTACTACTAGCTCCATGCTCTGACTGGTAGCAATTTATTGAGCTCGGAGAACCATCTCATCATAGGAAAGAGAAACATGGTTCGCCACCATGTACCTGAAGTTTGCCTGAAGTCGTTTATGAAACGACAAGCCTTCTTCTCCTCGGTGTCGATGAGGTGCTCTGCAAAGTGGCTCAAGCGCATAAACTCCCGCTCATATTCTTCTACCGAATGTCCACCCTGGCGTATATCCCATAACTGTCTCTCAATTTGCTCCTAGAAGTGTATGGATTATTTCTCGGCGATAATCTCCTTCATGCGATCCCATGTCAAGTCGGTACACTCGGTTGTCGTCTTGACCCTCAAGTAGCTGGACCACCATTGCCCGACGTCCCCTTCCATCTAGAACTGGGCATAATTTATCCTTTGCTGCTCCTCCAAGCATGCACGTTGGGAATCCTTTCCAGTTTCAAGAACCAGTCATCCACTACAGACGACCCATCCTGTCTGGTGAACACATGAGGGTGAAAGCTGCAAAATTGGGACACCAGCTAGGCCTGATTCTGGCCTTGTCATGCGGGTTCTGCTGGCCACCGTCTCGAGCTCCTCTTCCCCTTGTTGCCATTAACTAGCAAAAGGGTGCACGTTAGGTTAAACACAATTCAACCCAGCTACAGTTCACCTTTAAAAACATGAGGGTAAAGCCTAGGCTTCATTCTAGAGTCAAACATAAAGTCACATCATGCTAAAACTTATACATCTCAAGATACTTACCTTGAAGCTGGCGCGCCACAAAGGAGACGAGTTATCTTAAAACTTTTTTAAAATTTTTCAAATTTTCTAACTTTGAAAACTTTGCAAGACTACATAATCATAGACCTGCTCTGATACCACGCTATAGCGCCTGCTTAATTATCATTAGAAAATATTAAGGTTTTTGAAAATAATTTGAAACTTTTCAAACGCCTTTCAAAATAAAACTTTTCTCGGGCACTAATGAAAACCTTTTCTTTTCAAAACTTTTGTAAACATCTTTCTTTCTTTCTTTCCTTTCCTTTGAAAACTTAACCTAAACCTCACACTTAGGTTCTTATGGAAATCACATCCCACAATTCTTACTTACTTCTCAACATAATTAAGACAAAGGAGAACGCTCAAAATATTTAGTCTTAATTGAAAAAACATAGTCTCAAAATAACAAACTCAGTCTCGTTCATAAAGCATAAAATTACAATCAGGAGTTTGTAAAAGTTTTGCAGAAACATAAACAAAAAAAGCATTAATCAGACCATCATCGCACTCCCGAGTCCACAGCCAGCAGCTCAACCTAAAAATGACAATTGTGAGGGGTGAACAAAACTACTAGCTCACCTGAATGGATAACATGATATTCGCATGCAACATAAATAAACTCATCATAATGCCTCTCACAGGTGCTACCCATCACAGGCAGGGTTATAACAATTTACCTCTCATAGGTGCTACCCATCACGGGCAGTGTTATAAAAGCTTGGCCTTTCACTGGCGTTGCCAATCACTGGCAGGATTATACATAAATTACCCCTCACAGGCGAGACTACCTATGTAACAAACAACAATCATAATACCACAGTAATTATAAGGAATAAAATATAAATAGAATTCCCCACCTTATACTTGAATGAAGATTATATGCGGATGCTCCAATGGGATAATCGAGGACTCAACTCCTCGAAATCTACAATTTTAGAAGCATGGCTCTTATAAATAACTTAACTTGACTTGGTATAAATAAATTACCAACTTGGAGAATTTTCTTAGCTTAAGGTTCTTGACATAGTGAGAATTTTCTTAACTTCAGAATTCTCGGCTAAAGGTATTTAAAGCTCGAAAAAAGACTCTCAGAATTGAAAATTGTGCTACGACTAAAAAAAATACGTTCAGAGCTCGAAAATAAGTTCAAAAGCTCAAAAAGGTGGCTCGGGGTTCATGGCTCGCTGCTAGCTCGGTGCAATCGGTTGTTGTTGTGACCTTTCACAGCCCGACGCCCCCCAGTGTTGCGGTTGGCTCCGAACGCGCCTGCCTGAGGGACAGGTCTACGGTTGCCTAGGTCCGGGACGTGCGCTTTGGCACGAGGAATCGCGTGCACATGCTACGCTGTTGGACACGGAATACTGGCTCTCTGGACGACCTAGGTCACTGGGGTCTCGAGATGTTGGGCGCTGGGACGCTGCACGCTGTGGGGACGTG